TCATGATCCCCCACGCTCTCCCAATCCATCTACTGACTTCATAGGAAGAGTCACCAGAGACATGGATGTTGTTATAGGAGCAAGAACACGCCCCTGATGAAACCCAGAATCAACTGGGAATAACACAGAGGTTCTGCCCCCACCCTGCAGAGCACTCACAGTACCAGTGTAGAGGCCAGCTGTGACATCCAGCAACTTGGGGGGATCACACGAAGTCTCAGGATGCCCCACAGGGCAACTCAATCAAGTAAGTCACCTGTGCAATCTCAGAAATATTGGGTGATTCATGGTTAATCAAAGGATTAGCCTCAAGAACTGTGGACCCAGAGATGTCCAGCGTTGTAGAAACAGCTTTAAACAGCTGCACAAAGTAGCCGGCCCAGTAGGTCACAACTGCAGTGTCATCTGTAAGGACCGTTCCAGCACCCACCCTGACTCTCTAAGAAACAGATTCAAATGTGTGTAATGCTTCGATTCCTCTGTAAGCAGGACGTTGGTCGCTAGACTACAGATGGTGTGTCACTTGCCCACAGATCCCTCTAACAAACACCTCCTTATCTGCCCTCAGAGCCCTCAGAGCCCTCGCAGCCATCCTTCTCATTTCCCGGTAGAGACCAGACTTGTCATCATGCTTTTGATGATATCCCTGTGAGATGAAACACCTCCTTCTGGGAACACCAACAACGCCAACACAACCCTGAGCAACCTTCAGGGTCTTGTCACGGAAGGTCGCCCACATCACATTAAAATTGCCAGTCACACCCAAGTCTGCAAGTTCCTCACACAAACTGCATGCAAACTAATTAAAAACAGCCTGATCTTGGAGTCTGGCCAAGTTCAGCCTCATTCTCCTAGTAGGTGGTAGCCTACTGGACCTAAACTGAATCTTCAGAGTAGCAACAACAAGTCTGTGGTCATAATTCACAAGCTGGGCACTTCTGTAGATGCTGCAGTTCTGTAGGAGCCTCCAGCATCTGCCCAGAAGAATGTGATGGGTCTCCTTCACCACACCACCAGTATTGGAGCACCGAGTCCAATGATGCGGCTCAGAGCGCTGGAACCAGGATCCAGCGATCCACAACCCCTGACTTTTTGCAAAGTCAAGGAACATGGTCCCACTTTCACCATGGTCACCAGACACCATCATACCAGCCTTGTCAATGCAGTGGTCGCATTGAAGTCACCCATGACAAGAGTAGTGTCACCTCATGGGGACCCATCAACCACCAAGCCAAGTTGAGAATAATATGTCTACTTCATCGAGACATCACTCACCATGGTCGGAGACAACACACAAGACCACCCAGAGAGTGCCTTAGCCAAAGTCTCATAATACGCTCATTGAATGCAGTGACATCAGACACCATCATGAGGAGCCAATCTGCCACAGCAATAGCTACTCCCTGAGTATGGCAGGCATCAGCGTGACCAGACCAATAGCAGGTGTGCCAGCCTACAGAGATCTGTCCACTCCCTGGTCTGCGTACTTCAGAAAGTGCCTTCACTGAAATGCAGAGATTACGAAGCTCCTCCGACAGCAGAGGAAAATCCTAATTATTGTTCTGTTCCTGTTTGTTCAACCTTCCCCTGTGATTATGTCAGCTGTGGTCCCACCGGAATTATCCTCGCTGCCTCAGTCTGTATCCTGTTCATGTCACTGTACTGTGAAGCAAAGAAGCTTCACAGTACAGTGCACAGTAGCAGCACCTGCTAGTCAAAGGGGAGCAGTTATTAACTTGGCGGCGCTACATTTGACTGTACTTAGTCAGCTTATGTCATATCTCTTAAACTTGGCAATTATAATAATTTATGCATATTTTGCTACTAATTTTTCAAGCATTCTCACACACGTACTATAAGAGTATTAGGCCCTAGGCTAAAAAAAACAATATTCTGAGGGAAAAAAACTAAACACAGAAAAAAGTAGTTCCAAGATTAAAATATATGAGAAAACAATATTCTCTTGATATTCTCTTGATATCAAATGTTTTTTTTTGGGAAAAAACTGAGCGTGCAAACAACATTACGGCAGCTGTTTGAAACTTCCTGTGGCTTTAACTGTCTGGTTGTTATTACTTTCATTACTCTTCTCAGCAAGGGCATATCGCCTTGTCTTTTTAACAGTGAGTAAGATGATCAAGTGGATTTTGTAGTTCAGTGCCCTTGCTCTGATTTCTCATAAATCAGTAGGCACAAGCAATGGGTTTCATGCTGTCAGTATATCAAGAGCCAACTTAAAATATGAAATCATATAAATACATTTTAATGGACAGTGCAATTTGATTATCTTATAGGAGGTAGTGGCATGTGTTCTTACGTGACCTAAAGCCCATGGGAGAATGCTATCAATATTACGGTAATTATCAAATAAAAGAAAGTGATATAATCTCAGAGAGTTCCTCAGTTTTTTTCCTCATAAATCTACGACTTAAATCTTTTTTTTTCTCTGAATATTACCCCTCTCCCCCTCAGTAACCTACAATGGCCCTAATATGCCGTTGTACACACACACTTGCATTTCATTATGTAATTTTCTTTAAGAGCTTTGAGTGATCATTGAAATGAGAAAAATAAAAGGGAAGTGAAAGTGCTTGTAGACTACAACTATAAACATGTGGAGTGTAGGTGTTTGTGCACAGTAACTATGTTCACCACTCAAAGGTTTTCTAAAGACACAATATATATTCCACAGTGTTGGGATTAAGTTGATTTCTCTTTCTACAACTCCTCCTGCTTTTGAGAATACACGTCCGTAGGAGAAAGGAGCCAGAGGTGTATAAAAACTGAAGTGCAAGCTAATGGAAGAACGGCATTATGCATTGACCAGAATTTCAGTGGGTCCTCAGAACACAGTATGTTGAAGTCACTGAGATGACACTGCACCTCAACTGTGTCTCCGCATTGATGATGTGTAGTTAGTATATGTAATACATCCTAAAAACAGACCAAACTCCTCACTTATGGACAATACATTGTTGCATCTATATGACGTCATTTGTTTTAAGAAGAATAAACCCATTTCTAATGTCATATAGAAATATATATAGGTACAAAAACAAGTTCATAACACACGTAATCTAAATTGCACATCAAAAAGCTAAATATCAGTGTATGACGATGTTGTCACCAGAAGCAACACTCTACAACAACCAAACATGCAGCAAACACTAACACAGAGAGACAAAATGTCAGATGATAACCCTCATGCAGTGAAAATAACAAGCTCTTACCCTGTCATCTTTTTATTTTTTATTTTTTTCTCCAGAAAAAAAGTTTTATAAGTTTATATACTTATAAAAGTATATTCCCAGTATATTCTTCTTAACAATTAATCATACTGTCCTGATGATGGGAGCACGGTACTTTCCAAGGTGGTACGGCGGTAAAAATTTTGTGAGCCGCTGCTTTACAAGGTTTTAGTCCATGGCACAGTTTTTAAATCCGGCCAGCTGATCTGCCACTTTCCTCAAACACAGTGATTAGCAATGATCAAAATATCCCAATATTTACAAATTAAAATATCACCCATTATTAGACATCACCCAGTTCTAAATGGTATCGGCATCAGTATCAGTAAGTACCAGAAAGCAAGCATTGGTACTCGTACTCAGTCTGATTGGTACTCATACTCAGTCTGATTGGTACTCGTTCGTACTCAGTCTGATTGGTACTCGTACTCAGTCTGGAAAAAAATGGCATCAGTGCATCTCTAATAGGAACGTATCTGAGTTCGGTATAACAGAGCCAACAGACAGTCTTCATCTTACCAACTGCTCTCTTTCTCTCTGGTCTTGTGTAATTTATTGGGAAACCAAAACATTCTCAAACTTATGATCATGACTGACTAACCAGCACTAGCCATAACTAACTCACAGTCACAATTAGCATTGTTTTCCATATTGAAAATCTATGAATTTAGGTTCTGCCAGTGTCAAGACACGCATTCATTCTTTTCATTGTGCATTCCTAACCAAAAATTATGTAACTGAACGGCACACATCAAACATATGTACTATTACAGCCCCAATGTATGGTTCTAAACAGCTTTGATTTGTGATTTCATGACCAAGGTAAATGTGGGTCCTGAGATAAAGCAATTGAGAGCCGCTGCCATAGAGCAACAGGGGTTATGACTATCTGAAAAAAGATATAGTTCTCCTCTGGTTTGGTATATCATTTTTCACTAACACTGACACTTTCAGGCAATGTTCTTTTCAGGCCGGCCGAAGTTGTTGGAGGCACCCATGTTGACTTGACAGGTCCGTGAAAAAAATGACTAAGCTAAAACAAGAAGGCAAGACCACCGGTGGCCCAGTAACCAACGTGATTCACATCATGGAAAAGTCATCCGGCATATTTCTACCCAAGGAGGATGTACAGTAAATTGCATCATGAGCTCATATCGACATCTGATTTAGTTAATTCTTCATATACAGTGAATTAACAAACGCCCCAATTGCACACTATGTAAACACACCACTTAAGAAATTTGCAGCAATTACACTCCCTTCTCTCAAGTCCACGATTTCTTTGGGCAAAAAGATTAGATCCAATTAAGCTTTCTCTGTTATAAAATTGAGACCATAGTTCTGCAATTCATGAATAATTCTGCTTTGTGCTGACATAAAACAGGGAGATAGAAGCCTACCAAGCTATGCTTTGCTTTACATTAAACACCTGCAGTAGTTATACTTTTAGTCAAGAAAATACACCTAAATTCAACCAAACTAGCACAGTATGAAATGACTTTCAATAATGATACAAAACAAAAAGTCAAATGAATAAAAAGTAATGTAGCCAGCAATGATCAAAATAATAAAGACTCCTAAATGAAATACAGACTATTAGAAATTAGAAGACTTAAGTCCATTCCAAAACCATACCCCAAAACCCAAATTATGGTCTACATTTTGATGGCATTTTCTGTAGGTATACCTTACAAAAAAATCATTCTCCACAAGTTAAACTTGTCATCCAGCCAACATAGCACCAGGTCTTACCTCCTCTGTCCCTAATGGCGAGGTTATGCCCCATCTTTAGCAAAACATCCAGCTGGTACATTCCTGGATTAGAAGGTGGTGGATCTGCATCCCTTGGCTCCACAATAGTGATACCCTAAGGATGGAAAGAGGGCATTTTCAAAGAGCAGAAAATACTTTGTTGTTGTGGTGTCTAGATTTTGTTTGTTTTCCTGGAACCAGAAAAACAAACAAACAATCTCCTTCTGAACGTCAGCAAGACAAAAGGGCTGATTGTGTACTTTGGGAAGAAATTCCCTTACAATCAATGGGACGCCTGTGGGGAGGGTGTGCAGCTTCAAATACCTGCATGTCCTCAAGGCGAACGTGACACGGACAAGATACAGTACCAGCGTCCTTGTTAATTAAATAGGCACATCAGTACCTCCATTGCCACAAGGAAAGCTTCTAACCTTAGGCCATTTATATTCTTCATGAGGATTCACATAGCTAACAAGTCACTTTACCTACTTTACATACTTTATCAAACTCACGTTTTTCAATTGTTGACCATGATATACTGCTCTCTAATTTTATGGTCTATTTTACAATGATTTTCTTTATTGTTATTTCATTTTATTTCATTTATTTTCATTTGACTTACAGTATTTCTTACTTTATTCTTTCTATACTGTTTTGTTTTTTTCTTTCTATTGCCTATTTCCTCGAGCACAATCCAGAAGACCAGTGGATAGGTATTTCACTGTACAGTGGTACAGTGCACAATTGTGTGTGTGATCAAGAAACCGAAAACTTTAAACTTGGTCTCCTCCGTGTCAGCTTCATGTCCTGGGGGGGCGGGGCTGTGGCTTTCCATACACACTACTAGACATTTACATGGAGAAACCTTATGAACACCAGCGCGCTGACACACACAGGTGTGCACACAGGTGCTCACGAACACACACTGTCTTGATCGGCTGTTGCTTCCAGACATGTGTTGTAATACTGGTTGTATGTGCTGTTCAACAACATTTAACGTTTGATGTTCGTTGTGATTCGTACAGATGTTGGTTGTTGCTTTTCTCTCTTCATTAGACATGGAAGCAGATTATCTGTTTTTTTTTCTCCTCTCTCTCCCTCTCTCTCTATCTCCCCGTCCCCCCCACACTAGTTCTCCCTCTCTCTCTATCTCCCTTCTTCTCCTTTGTTTCCCCTCTCTCTCCCTCTCCTCCTCTTGAGGAAGTAAATAAATAAAAAAAAAAAAAAAAATAAATAAATAAATAAATAAGAAAATAGAAATAAAGCAGTCCTCCGCAGAGGGGGGGGGGGGGTGGTGGAGGGAATATAAAAAAAAATTTAAAAAAATTAAAAAAAAAATTTGGTTTGGGACAGACATTTAAAAACTATGTGGCAAAAGAACACTTGATCTGGCACGTTGTTCCACTGGAAACTCTCCAATGGCCAGATCATAGACTGTAAAAGGCTGAAGGGCACCTGCAAAGCATGATTCAGCAGGAAGGAAAAGTTTTCCAGAAATGATAAAAACAGCTGCCTTCACCGATTGTCTGGATATATTAGTATCAATGAGCAGAATTAGGATCCCTACATCCTTGCAAAGCATGTGATAGTAACTTACAGGGATGCCGACGTTTTTTTTTTCTATTTCCCTACTTTTTCCACAATTTAAAGAATAAAGTTATTTATAATGCTGGCTTTTGTAATGGAAATTCTTGCAGTAAGTTTCACTGCGAGCTGACAGAAGGTAGAATAAAGTGATCTTGCGCTGTGATGCTTTGGGCTGATTTGTTATGTAACCGTCAGCTGGAGCAGCAGCATTGCGGCTCACAGGAAATTCAGAAAGGCAGCCGCTGCAGTGGCCAGTCACTGTATCCGTAACCTTTCACTGTCTTCATCAGTCACACACAGACTCATACAAAAGCACAAGTAAAGACACAAAGCCTGCAAAGGGGAGCCTAAATATTTCAGTTGATATTGACATACAATCGTTAGATAGCATTCTATTCAGGCAATATTATCCAGGAACTTCCATTGCTATTCAGTCAGAGTTCCCTCTACGAAAGACAGCACATATCACAATAAAAATGACCTTTTTAATTCAATCAAAATGTATAGTCTGTGGTCAGTTTGACAAAGCGGCTCTGATCTAGGATGAATGTTTAATTCATAACTGCTATGCTGTTTCTGCTTAAACAGCAGTGTTGGGATAACAGATTCATTATGAAACCATCCTGCATTGGTTCATATTATATTTTGGTAGGACAGCGTGTTCTGTGCAGAATTTCTGTTTATGTTTTGATCAAAACATCCATCCATCCATCCATCCATCCATCTTTAAACTTCTTATCCAGGTCAGGGTCACAGAACAAAGATATATTAATATTATTATTAATTAGCCAAGTGCTGTTCTGGTTTTTCTCAGCTTGGGATGTTTTCTGAAGCTTGTTGTTGTTTTGTGTTCCATAATTAGTACAATAATCTCATTTGTAATGCAGTTACTCTGCTCTACTAAAGTGTCCCTGTACCCCAAACAGTGCTTGGCTGCTTTATACAGAAACCTATTCAAAGACATCAGGTAAGGCGAACATTCAGCCCACACCAATCTATTTTACAGCACAAATTGGAGAGCAGGTACACTGCGGTGTCTATCACAGCCACACATGATACAAGATACACGCAGTGACTCAGCTCACATTGTAACAGTGAGCTGAAGGATGAGCAATGCCCTTCGGTGAAATGGAATCCCTTTGTCTACGTGCTGCCAATTTAGCAAACTGAAGACATGTCAACACGGCCTTATATCTGCAGAAATTTGATAACTGGTTCGTGATGAAAAACACGTGTCTTGCTATTGCTTTGCTATTGCTATGCTAAGCAAACAGAATGCACCTGTGAGCATAGTATAGTTGGTTCAATGTATATTTTTAATATGCCTTAATGTCAGTCACAGTGCATTTTGAATATGTCACCCATACAGACCCAGGCATCAAACGGCACAGTTTTTCAAATGGCCTCAGTTAAAAACAATACAACTGTAAGAAATGTGGTTATTTCCCCCGTAATTCTTATGTGCTTCTGTTTCTATTTTCGTACTAGCTGTGATTATGCTTTTGCTTCCGCCTAGTACCTGATTTTGTTATGCCTTGTTTTGCTCTAGTTTCGATTATCTCCTAGTGTCCATTCCCTTGTGTTTGATTTGTTGTTAATCATCCATAGCTGTTTCCCATCAACCCTTGTCATTGTATATATACTGTAGGTGCGTGCTTTTGCCCTGTTGTCTTGTCAGTCGTAGCATTTCTTCTGCAGTTGTTACTAGAATGTGTAGGTGATAGTGTGTGCTGTAGGATCACACATGCACATATCACAGGGCCTAAATTCCAGGTGGCCTGAGACAAGG